TACAAAGAGACAAAAATAAATGCCCAATTTCTCAAACTCACTATAACCTTATAGGCTTCTACTACGCTAATCTTAATGACTAATGAGTAATGTACAAATGTCAAGAAACAAGTTCATCTTGTTCCAAGAGCTTGCAAGTCGTGATGGCTGGGCTGCTAAGTAGCTGACGAGTGAAGAGAGATACACTTATGTGACAAGTGTATCCACATAGGGATTCCGCGAGTCGAGACACACAACTTTGTCCGAAAGTCTTATTCAATTTTTAAAAAATTATAAAAATGACTAAATACACAATATCATATTAGGAATAAATGATTTTATATCCATGTTGTTTGAATAGTTTTATTTATTTTTGTTAGAGATCACTATTGGTTTAATTATATCTATATTGTTCAAGTTATTTTAGGAGAATGTGTTACTTTTTAATATGTGCCATGTTGAATTGCTTAAATATACTAATAATTATTGTTCAATGTTGAATTGACATCAATAGATTATTAATTGTATTTCGTAACATTTAAATAATGATTTAATATGTCGCTATTAATAATGATTTAGTATATTTCGTTAGTCTATGATAATTTTTTGTATTGGGAGACATGCACGGTAATTTACCGATACCGTACTGTTACCGAACCGAAACTTTGGTATACCGAAATGCGGTATACCGAAACTTCGGTAAGGTAAAGGTATGCAAATTTTGCATACTGAAAGTTTTGGTACGGCAAAGGTATGAGGAAAAATATAAGGTATACCGTACCGAACCACCCCTAGTATCACCGAGCAAGTGTATTGACACTTTTAGTCAATAAATAAATGTCTCCTAATTGCAAAATGAAATTGTGATATATAATTATGAGATCTTAATTTTAGAACTTCAGCCTACTTAAAATAGTTTTGAACCTAAAAACTTTCATCATTCACATCTTCAGATTTATTTTTATTTTGGTATCCACAATAGTGTCATATGAAAGATATTTTATAAGTCAGTAGTTTTGGAGGCCGTTTGGAATCACTATTTTTTGGCTTATCAGGCTTATCAGCCAACTTTTTTATCAAACACGTAGTTTTTGCTTTCGCGCGCTGAATTGTGTAATAAGCAAAAATAGTAAAGTTGGAGTTACTTTTCTGGCTGTATTGGTTGAAGTTACTGTAGATGGCCATTTTAGCTATATTTACATATAATTTTTTCTTTATTTTATTAATAAAATATATTTTAAAAATAATTTTTTCTTAAATCAGCAGAATCAGCCAATGCAGCCACTTTAGCCAGAACACTATAATTTCAGCAGAAACAGTCAAGGTAGCCATTTTTTGTGCTACCAAACGGGCTTTTGGTATATACGGAGTATTTTATAAAAAGCACATAATAAATAAAAAGTTTTGGCCATTTAAAAAAGAGAAGGATTTTTTTTATTTAGCCCCTCACATCATTTCATATTCGTCCTTATCAATAGGTAGCTTCGTACGTAATTTCCGATCCTGATGAAAGCAAGCAATGGACTTGGCTTTGATTAACGATGTACGTAGTATCATTCAGTACTCGGTTGGGAAATACTCCCTCCGTCCCTTATAACTTTGCCAACTTTCCTTTTTTGGATGTCCCATTAACTTTGCCACTTTCCCTTTTAAGTAAAGAATTTGTGGTTCCAGTTAATTCTCTCTCCTCTGCACAAACCTCAACCACACAGTTTTTACTTTATTAATCCCCGTGCCGGTCAAACATGGCAAAGTATTGAGGGACGGAGGGAGTACTTTTCACCAGAACCTATTTTGTAAATGATTTTTTATTTAATACTCCCTACATCCCTTAAAACTTTGTCATCTTTTATTCCGTAATTTTTTAGTCAACCATGTTCAACTTTGAGCAACTATATATTTTTATAGGAAATTATTTATAATATAAAAATGATATGAAAATGTTCTTTGTTAAAAGTACTTTCATAAAAGTATAAAATTTATAACTTCCAAAATATTATACTAATCAAATTCATGGTCCAAACTTTACCACCATTGACTTGAAAAGTCAAAGATGGCAAAGTTTTAAGGAAGGAAGTTAATATTATTTTGGAAAAAACTCGTCACATAAAGCTCAAATAGAAGTTTTATAGTCTCTATACACACATAAGTTGCGGACTTCTGTCTGAAATAGGGGTTCGACCTTTGTCGTCAATTGGTGCGGGCTGTGCGGCGGTCTATGCGTGCAGAGCTTCAAAAGACAATAAACGGTTGAGCGGCATAGTCCTTTAATTTGATGTGCAGGCCGATGGATATTGTTTTGCAGGAGTCGAGGGGATGATCGAGAGACAAACCGAGAGGAAGACGAATCAGTGGACAACTTGGTTGAGAAGTATGGTGAAGCACCGGATGAACGGATGATCGATGATGATGATGATGAAGAGACGGCCGAGTCGGAGGAAAACCGCTTTGGTGCATCAACAATCATAGTGATGGCCCGACCTCCTCTTGAACCACCGCCAGGGGTTGAACAAGCTGTTGGGGTTCCAAAAATTTATTTTGTTTGTTTAGTTTTCTTTATGTTTCATTATTATTTGGATCTTTACTCTGTTTTGGTTGTGCTATGTTTTTCCGGCAAAAAAAACTTGTTGTCATTTTGATTATATTGCAGGACTACAAGTCATGGCTCAGTTAAGTCCAAAGCGGGGTCATCGAATTATATTGCTTCTACAGAGGTGATTAATTTTAAGTCTAATTCTAGGGCGGACGGTAAATAGAAAACTTGTTGTCATTTTGTGACCTACTTTCGTTCTATTATGATAAGTTAAACTAGTTTAGTAAAAAAAAAGTTTCTACGACTAGAACTGAACTGTCGGTTGGCGGTTCCGAATGTCAGGGGGCCGAAACAACACATTACCAGTTCCGAAATCAACGATTCCAATTCTAAACTTTTAGGGAACCTAACCGAACTACAGAACCTTCAGTTCCAAATCGAAGGCATAGCATGTTGAACCTTAAACCGCAGAAGGTATATATTTTTTCAATTGTGATTTTAACCTTGGAAATTAGAGCGACACTTGATTGGATTGACTTCAACCACACACCATATTAGACATCGTAATTAAAATACATTATCACCCAATAAAAAAATAGTTTTAGAAAAAATTACATATATATGATCGACTAAAATAATTTTTGTTTAAAAAAATGTGACATTTTAAATGTAGTGGCCATAGTAGTAACTTAGTAATAACAATTTATGTTCAATTTTTATATTAAACGACTATGAAACCATAGTAGTGTAACTATTAGTCAAATTTTTGTATATAAATTCCATTTTATAATACGGAGTATTTTTTAAAGAACCTCAAAAAACTACATTAAAAAAATCATAAAAATGATTGATCGGCTGCTCACCGCGATCACGAATAAGAAATGTCTATTTTTACCATAAAGCAAATCAGGGCCGTAGATGAGGGCGTGCAAGAAGTGCTACCGCACAAGGCCTCTCGATCCAGAAGGCCCAAAATTTTAAATATAGTTTACATAATATACAAAATCCTTTTTTATTTGATTAAAGATCCCTATTTTAGTATTTTGTTTTTAAATACAAACATTAAATACTAATATTTATATGCAATTAAAATGCAATTGTTAATTATAAATGTGTCACTTCTTTATTACATAAGGCCTGAATAAGGTCTAGTTATAGTAATTAGCACAAATTCCTCGTACAGTTTGGACGAGCTTGGTTTTAACAGACAGAGGGAGTAGTTTTTTCAGTAATATCCTACTCTGTATTTTTTAGTTCGTGATTTTAATTCATTTCTTTTCAGTTTTAGTTTTTTACCGATTTTGGTTGTTCAGGTTCGAAATATGATTATATCTCAATGTCACATTTGATTGTAGTCTTTATTGGGTTATTTTTTACCGATTTTCTAAATAGTATATTTATTTAGTATAAGGCCTATTTACGTGATTTGCACCGAGTCTCCTAATCTATTGAGCCGGCCCTGAAGCAAATGGATAAAGACAAAAAGTCATCGATATGGAATTTTGTACTAATAATATAGACATACAGTACCACCCATTTGCTCGATTTCTTAATTTAATCTAGGTTCGTTGAATTCTGCGTTTTAAATAAAATACCGTATTCATCCCAAAAAAAAAACGTATCCTTTCAAAAAAATAAAATACCGTATAAAACTTATTCAATTTATCAAGCCACATCGGTGGAGCTTTGAAGTAGTCCTTTTTAATTAGGAAAAAATTGATAGTAATAATCTCAACTATTGGCAGTCCGCTCATAATAATCCCAACTATCGATTATTTCAGAATAATCCCAATTTTAGGGACCTTCCGCCAATAATGGTCCCTATAAATAAAATTCTTGTAGTTTCTAAAGTGGATGATAAGAGATATAGAAAATAACCCCTATAAATAATTCCAACTTTTAATGTTTACGCTTAATTTCCATTTAAAATTCACTTGTTATAGGAGGTAATATCTAGTCATGGACCATTATTGGGTGATGGTCCATATAGTTGGGATTATAAAAAATAATCAATAGTTGGGATTATTGTCAGCGGACCGGCAATAGTTGGGATTATTATTTTCAATTTTTCCTTTTAATTATGATCCGTAGCATTAATGAACAATTTGGATGTTACTAGTTTGTTTGATTGAGAGATGTATTTGGTCGTTACAATACGAATATACAAGATACTACCTCCGTACCGATAATTGAAAAGTAAAAGTTGTGGTTGAGATTTGACTAGAATAAAGTGAAATGATTAGATTCATATATTTCTTGCCAAAAAGGGAAACAAGACATTCATTTTGGGACTACTCAAAAAGGAAAGTAGAACAATCAAAATGGGACGGAGGGGGTAATACGTAGTATCCATTTGAGATAATTACCCTAGTTATAACCAAAACTTATTCACTTTCTCAATCTATGACTTAACTAGTTTTTTTACTAAAATAATAATAATATTTAATTAAATTCGTAATAATTAATTAAATGAATAATATAGGTGGACAAATATACCATTTAAGTTATATCTATAAAACCATAACCTCCTACTTTTTTATTGAACCATAGCCTCAATTCCCCCACCTCCAAAGATCCATCCGCCTGCCGCTGCACTCCCCTGCCGCTGCCGCTGCCGCCGCCCCATGACCCGCCATCAGCCGCCGTTCAAGGGAACAATCGTCAGCCAAATGCATCTAGCCGCTTGCATCGTCGTCCAGGAGTATGCCGCCCATGCCCCGCCGTCCAGGAGTACGCCGCCCATGCCCCGCCGTCCAGGAGTACGCCGCCCATGGCCCGCCATCCAGGAGCACGATATCCCTTCAGGAGCACGCCGCCCATGGCTAGCCATCCAAGAGCATGCCACCCCATGGCCCGCCGCCCACTGTCGTCCCGATCCATGGGTGCCGCCGCCCAGCCGTCTGCCATCTTCTTCTAGATCTACCGTTGGAGAGTGTTAGAAACCTAGCAGAGAGGGGGGAGTGCGACACATGTTAAAAACGTGAAGATGGGTTTGGAGTTACATAAAGATGAGCCTGTTACATCATGGGTTTGTTGCAATTTTTTGAATGCGAAGGCCACTGGTAAGTTGTTACGGCGCATGATAATTCTGCTTTGGCCATCACTTCTACTGTTTGCTTTTCAATTTTTTAAAATTAGGAGTTTCTAAAATTAGGGTTTATGGCATTAAATATGGGCATTGAACATCGCCAGTTTAATAAGTATTGAGTATGAGCAGTGAATATATATATATATGTGTGTGTGTGTGTGTGTGTGTGTGTGTGGTAATAGACATTTTGGACATGACAATGAATGGATGCATTAAAAAAATTTGTTGTGCAATGATTATGAACAATATTGCATTAACACAGATCAATAATATCTTCATGAAATGCATTATAATTAATTAGGCATAAAATAATAAAATTATTAAATCTAAAAAACAAAAAACAAAAACTAAAAAATAAATTCTTCAAGTGAATGAGAAGGGAATTAATTTTGACGAAAGTGCAGTGATTATTACCGGATGTGCAGTAAATTCATGCATTAATGTCGTGCAGTAACGGCAATTCAAAGTGCAATAATTTTAATTGGACAAAATTAGTGCAAAATGCACATATTTTAAATAAGGGTATTTTCATCATTCAACCTTTCAATAAAAACGAGATTTATTTTTTTCTTGGATTTTCGGTCATATAGAAGTCTAAAAACTAGCTAGGTCATAGATTGAGAAATTTATTGAGTTTTAGTCATATTCTAGTAAATTTCCCTATCTATTTCTTCGTATATGTTTGAATTTTGATAGTTTTGGTGGAGGAGTAGGGGATATTTTGAAGGTTAGATGTAGGATGAGAAAGGTAAGTAAAGAAAAAGAAACCACTCTTTTTATTTGAGAGTTATAAATTTAATTTGTAAACAGAGAAAGGTTATGGAGGATTTATAACTAACATCACTTAGAAGTATTGTGAATCAAAATGTTGATTTTATATACATTTTAAATTGAGCTAGAATGATAATTTAATTAGTTATCCTTCAAATTTTCAATTTGGGGAAGGTTGAAAATTAGACATTTGAAGGGTTTTGGAATGACAAGAATCCTTCAAAATCATTGCTCCTCATCCTTCACCCCTTCAAAAACTTAACTTTCAAACACTCTCAAGGACGACTTGTTGATTTGTAGTTTAGTATATCTATCTAGAAGTGCATACTACATAATAGTATGTTCTTACATAAGTGCAATATGTTGAATTTTACACTATTCATTTGTTTTACTTTTAAAAATAGTCGTTGAAAAGTAGTATTGTTCAAGGAAAAAGCCCTTGAAAATTACTAGAAGAAAGTTGAAACCTTATACTTTTTCTAGCTTTATCTGCTCTACAAGGTATTAAGTATACATCTATTTTTACTAACAGAACTAACTCTAAGTAAAACACAAGACAATTGGTTTAGGCCGTTTAGCATGACGTTTTTGGAAGGGGCATTTTCAGAAATAAGCTTAAAAGGGAAAACAATATCACTTTTTCATTTTTCTAAATTTCTTACAATTTTGGATCACCCAAATAGCGCATATGTACAACAAAAATATCAAGACAAAAATGGAGGCTATTCAGAGGTCGGATAACTCATCACCTCAAAAAAGAAGCTAAATAACAATGCTACACATAAGGCCAAACACAAAAATAGTTGATGAACCGCAACAAAAAATAGTTGATCGATCACTCCCATGATCGATAGAAATATGGATGCTAGAAAATATATCAATTATTTAAAAGTTATTGAGAGAAGGAATTCCCTATGAAAGTGCAATATGCGCATGATTGTACTTTGACAAACACATTCGACCAAATAATACATTCTCAAGAACGTGTTAGCTGAAAATAGCTCAGGACCAACACATCGTATATTGTCATTGGAATGATATCAAGAATGTACTTTGATATCTATATGAAACCACTAGAGTAATCTTTATTCATCCCTTATAAATTGAATTAAATGATTGATGATAGTATTATTCCTAAAGGAATTGGAAATGTCAAAGTATCACTCTAATACAAAGTATGTGATTTGAGTTTACTCATGATGAATACACTCTGACCTCATTGATATCTTCTAAATTAAGCATATACATTTCATGAAAGAAACCATGATATCAGTGGCGAACACAGGGGGGTGACAAAAGGGGGCTGCTGCCCCTCCAAAAAAAATCTAGATATATTTACCCCGAAATTTTTAATGTATATGTATTTGTATGTATATTTTTGTACTGCCGCCCCTGCTACCGGAAATTCCTGTGTCCGCCGCTGCATGATATTATGTACGAAATAACTTGATAAAAGTAAATATCAAGTAAATATAGGATTATTATTGATGCGTTATACTCAGGGAGGGTCTTGATATACATATTTATCATCAATTATACTTCATATATACTGGTGTGTTGTACTTTTTTCCCCTTTTGACCAAGTTTTATTTTTCCCATTGGGTTTTGTTACTTGGTAAGGTTTTTTGAGGCAACACATGCACCACCCCACATTTTAATTTTGCAAGCGTAAAACTATGTTGAAGAAAGAACATAATTAATATATCACAGTCAAAAGTAATTGATTGTGCTTATTAGTGCATCGTATTTTTTTTGTTTCTCCTTTGACCGATGTTTATTTTTTCCTATTGGGTTTTGTTCATTGGCGACGGTTTAACAAGTTAATAATTTTTACATTTATCACCTTACACTCGGCACACAGGGGGAGAATTAAAGGAATTATACTCCTCTATTTGTGTGCATTCGCTAGGGTAATTAATGTGACAAGTATCGGAATGCATGAAATTTCCAAACAACCTTGATTAATGTAATTATTAAGGATATGTGTAGACTTGAGGGGGAGTTCCCCATCTACATTACGTTACACTCTTTTCCTTTCACCAAGTTTTATTTTCCCCATTGGATTTTGTTACTTGGGAAGGTTTCTAATGAGGTAACTATACATATATATGTTATTGATCGAAGCAATGATCAAATAACGATAGACTTATGGAGAGAAGTTTATCATGATGATGTACTCTATTTCTCCAATCAAGGTCATTTTTTCCCACATGGTTTTTGTTACTTGACAAAGTTTTGAAGAGGCAACAAGATATACCACATTCTATCTACAACTCAGCACAAGTGGGAGTGTTGAAGGAAATTATATATTGTGTGCTATAGTTCAGAAATATTATGTAGTATAGATTATCTTATGTAAATGAAATGGCTTATTGGCCCGTCTCTGTAAACCCTAATATTTCCCTATTTATAGGGCGTATTGGTAATGAAGTTATGCAACCATTCTCCTACAATAGAGAAAACTTTATATGATTGATTGCACAAAAATTAATAGCTTGAATGAGTTTTCATAAAAGTGTGTTTGAGAAAAAGGAGAGAAATATAAAGGTATGTTTAACCATAACCCTTAACTTAAAGTATCCGTACTTTTAAAATGTAAACTACCTATTTATGTCTAAATAGCTACATGTATTATGTAATGGTAATTAATTAATTTTTTAATTAAAATATTAAATATAAGATAGATATGACGTCAAAATTAATATGGTATAATATTATAAATGTGATTTTTTATAGAAACAAATATCGAAAAAATAATCACCCGAACAACTGAAATGACAAACAATCAGACAAATATGTGCACTTTATGTGCTTGTAAGTTCTCCGTTTTCAAGGTTTGGTGCAACATTTATTAAAGCACGAGGAAATTTCTAAACACAAAGGGGAACATGCCTATTATGATATTATAAGTATTTGGTGCTTTAAACCCGTATTTAAAATAGTAAAAGAATTATATCACCCTTTTCCGCAATTTTATTTGTGTAAGGAAAAATCTCAATCTATAGTAATAGAGAGTCTTTCATTTCCCCGATCACTTTGTAGATATTTGAATAATTCATGACCACTTGTTAGTTCTTAGCTTTCAGTTACGTACCAGGTTGTGACCCGGATGGGAAACTAATAAATTCCATAACAAATTTACCTAAATGTTTCGTGCAATTTACGGAGTTGAACATCTTACGTAGTAATATTTAAATTAGAGAAGTAAAAACTGTCTAGTTGAGATTCGTGATGTCAATATAGATTGATGTATTTAATTTTTAAATTCACAATTTAAGTTGTCAAACTAATAGTCCGCAAACGATGAAAGCCTTCTGCCGCTTGGAGCTCCTGAAGCTATGAGAGCACCCTAGGCGACGTACAACGCCCGTCTAGAATCCTCCTGGCAGTTTGCACTACGACGCATAGCGCTGACTTGTGATTTAGATATGCGGATGTATCTCTTTTTTGATTTCTATCTTTTAGGGTTGTGGTTTTGGTCCGACATCTTCTGTGGGCGAGAGCTATGTCTGGTTCAGGTGAGCGTGCATTTTGTTCTTCTGGCAATGTCTAGAAGTTGTGTCTTCCTCGTCGGTGTAATCGGTCATGCGATTCATTATTCATGATTGGCAAAACATGTTCATCCTAATTTTTAATCGAAGCTAGAGAAAAGAGGCAAATAAGCCCTCCAACTATTTGCAATTCTGCAATCAGGCCCCTGAATTTGAAGAATTACAGATACACGCTTCAACTCATTGAAAATAATGCAATCAGATTCTTTTTTACCTATTGGTGTGGGGTAAGAAGATGAAATATTACCGGCACCAGCAGGTAAAAAGGACCTGATTGCATCATTTTCAATGAGTTGAGTGGTGTATCTGCAATTCTTCAAGTTCAGGGACCTGATTGCAGAATTGCAAATAGTTCGAGGGCTTATTTGCCCCTTTTGTCTAGAAGCTTCAATTATTTGTCCTCCTCCTGAATCACCATCTCACTCGAAGAAAAAGATAGCGCTCAACTGGATCTCCTTTTCGCTGGCTGACCTGGTCTAACTGATGATCCAAAAAAATTCTGTTCAATTGAGTTTCCTTTGTTGGTTGCTGGTCAAACTAATTCTCCCTTTCTGATGGCCGGTGAAGCCGGATCTTTTAGTTGTAATTTTTTATTTTCTCCTTGAAGTAGCAAGAAGAGCAGCAAGACTGTTAGACTAGACCACATTATTGCAGGATTATCGATTTGAAAGGATCCATTAGATCTTTTTCGTTCCATGTGTCATCCTCTATTGGTAACTTTTCATCTTCAAGTTCCCCGATCTATGGTTAATGTAACCTTCATATTCTAGATTGATAAAATTAAAGAAAAAGTTAAATAAAAGTGTCAAGTAAGCTCCTTACTATATTAAAAAACAATTAAGCACATGAACTCAATAATTACCTGATTAATCAATTAAACTTTTAAAAATCGTTCAAATCAGCTTTTATCAGGTAACCAACA